AGATCTATTTCTCCATTGTCATATATATATTTACATATGCACATGCCTGTATTTAGACCTTTATAAATGCCTTTTGCCTCCTGTTTGTTTCATCTATTTCCTTTTACTTTCCTCTTGTCCCACTATCATGTTCAGCCTTCTTTTGGTTTCATTAATTCCTCTCTGTGATATTGCCCTTGATCAAACCCTCCCAGGCCTCCTATACCCTCCTCACCATCTATTTTGGATCACTTGTTCCCTTCTCCCTGGGTTTGTTAACACCTACTTCCTTTCCCCTGCCTCCCCCTCTCCCATGTCCCGCTGGAACCGTTGTTTTCCCCTCCAGCTTGTTTATCCCACCTATCTTATCTAGATAGGCCTGCAGAGATAATAATATGCACAGAAAACAAGACAGAGCAAAACAAAGCAACCAAAGAAAACAAAACAACAGCAAACAAAATCCAAGGGCAAAAAAAAGCCTGTGAATAGTTCAAAGTCTTGTTTGTTGACCTTTAGGAGTGTTTTCTGGCCGAGTCTGATGGGATGCCATGCCTGGCCCCAAAGTCTATTTTTGGCATTCCCTGAAGACTTCATTGCTTTACTCCCCTTTCTGTTCTGTTGCAAAGCCCACACACCACCCTGTGTTATCATGAGGTGTCGATAGGATCAGGTATCCAGCATCAAAAAACAAAAAATCATCATTGTGAATGAGGGGGATTGCAGAGTGGAGACTCAAAGCCCATCTGTAGGCAACTGGACACCCCCTTATGGAAGGGTCTCAGGGAAGAGACGAGACAGTCAGGGTGCAGTATAGCACCGATGAAACATACAAATTTCCTCTAGTTCTTTAATGCTCCCTCTCCCCGCACTATAATGATCCCAATTCTGCCTTACAAATCTGGCTAGACCAGAGGATGTACACTGGTATAGATAAGAGCTGGAAACACAGGGAATCCAGGACAGATAAATCCCTCAGGACCAATAATGAGAGTAGCAATACCAGGAGGGCCAGGGGAAGGTGAAGGAGAAAGGGGTAACTGATCACAACAGAAAAGTGGGTGAAGGGAGACATCAGACAGTGTAAACCATAAAAAAATAATAATTGATAAATTATCAAGGATCATGAGGGATGGGGAAATATGAGGATCTGATACCAATGGCTCAAGTAGAAAGAAAATGTTTTCAGAATGATGATGGTAACAAAGGTACTTGGCATAATGGATGGATGGATGGGTTGTGATAAGAGTTGTATGAGCCTCCAATAAAATGATTTACAAAAAAAGAAAAAACCTAAATTAAAAAAGACTAAGGATATTATCAAGCAATATATCACACACACGCACACAAAGTTTTGCTGCGAATCATACAAAACCCATTGCAATCCTGCAGAGACAGGGAACTACCAGAAATTAAAACCAAGTTGAGAAGAAGATATGGAATTAAGGGTATTATTGCTGATACCAGATAGGTCTTGGCTGAAAGCAAAGAATACCAGAAAACTGTTTATATGTATTCTATTGAAGGCATTTGACTGCAGATTATAACAAATGAATAACGCTGTGATGAATGGGAATTCCAGAACACCTAATTGTCATCATTAGTAACCTGTATGTAGGCCAAGGCAAGGGAGCACGGCATGGTTGAAAACCAGGAAAAGTTGCATCCTGTCACCATACTTGTTAATCTGTATCTTAAGCATTGGAAGCTGGACTGCTTAAAAAAGAACACAGCATTCCGATTGCAGAAAGACTCCTTAACAGCCTGCAATATTCAGATGACAACCCTGCTTACTGAATGTGAGGAACACAGGTAGCACTTACAGAAGACGATCAAAGTCAAGGGAACCGATTACAAGGAACTATATGTGACCTCCTCCCTGGGGGTCGGACAACCGAAAAGTGGGTGAAGGGAGACGTCGGACAGGGCAAGATATGACAAAATAATAATTTATAAATTATCAAGGGCTCATGAGGGAGGGGGGAGCGGGGAGGGAGGGGAAAAATGAGGACCTAATGCCGGGGGTTTAAGTGGAGAGGACATGTTTTGAGAATGATGAGGGCAATGAATGTACAAATGCGCTTTACACAATTGATGTATGTATGGATTGTGATAAGAGTTGTATGAGCCCCTAATAAAATGATTAGAAAAAAAAGAAGAAGATCAAAGTCTACCCCCTTCAGCATGGATTGTACTTCAACACAAAGAAAACAAAACTTCACAATTGAAGTGATAAACAATACCATAACAAAGCAAAGACAGGAGTGGTCAAGGACTTCATTTTACTTAGATCCACAACTAATGCCTGTGAAAGCAGCAGTCAAGATGCCAAATGACATATTGCATTGGGCAAATTTGCTGCAAAAGACCTCTTTAAAGTGTTCAAAAGCAAAGGTGTCAATTTAAGGTGATGATAGTTGTCTCACGCAGTTTGGACATGTTATCACGAGGGACATCATGTTAGGTACAGTGGAGGGTTAATGAAAAAGAAGAAGATTCTCATGGAGATGAATTGACCCGGTGGCTATGACAATGGGCTCAAGCACAGCAAAGATTATGCAGATAGTCCATAGGACCGGTGGGAGTTTTCTTCTGCTGTAGGTAGTAGTCCCTGTGAGTCAGAACTGACTGGAAGCCACTTAACAACAACAAAGAGGTATGGAACAAAGGAGTAGCTCAGTGTCTGCCCATCCCACCGATCTCCCTCTAACCCTTTGATAGATGACTATTTGAAAGATAACTATTGCTGCCTGTTTTTTCTCTTTTCTTGCAAGATTTTTACTGTAGTTACTATTGACTTGAGAAAAAGCAAAGCCTTCATCCCATTCACCTAACCTCATTCCATTTCTAAAGAGACAAAATGCAATATATATTAGCTTGGTTCAAAGATGATTCTATTAAGCCCAACAGGTGGTGCTTTCAAGATGCAACACAATAGGGTTCAAGATCAGCACCCTTCCTGGTCTGTAGGGTCTCTCACCCTACAATGTCTCTGGGACAGTAATTAACCCAATACTTTCATATTCATAACCTAATTTGAAGAAATACATGTGCCTTGGAAGAAGTTAGGAGAACTCTCCATAGACTCAGATGAGCTCAAGATCCCAGAGTTATTTAACAGAAGTCAGAGGTGATTCTAAAACCAAGCAACCCAAATAAACTCACTGCCATCAAGTGGATGCTGACTCAATAGCCACCCTATAGGACAGGGTAGAGCAGCTCCTGTGAGTTTCCCAGACTGTAACTCTTTACAGGGGCAGACAGCTGTGTGGCTGGTGGTTTCCAGCTGCTGACATTGCAGTTAGCAGCCCAACTCAAAGAAATATATTACTATGTAAACCAAGCCCCCCCGCAAAGATTCTCAAGAATTGAAGAGCCCTGGAGGTGCTGTGGGTTCGGCATTAGGCTGCTAAGCACAAGGCCGGCAGTCAAACCCACCAGCAGCTCCGAGGGAGAAGGATGAGGCTGCTCTCTTAAAGATTTAGAGTCTGGGAAACCCTATATACGGTTGCCATGAGTCAGAATCGACTGGATCACAGTGGGTTTGGTTTGGTTTGGTAATAGTGATTAGATACATGACTACTGGGCATAGCTCTGGGTTTGAGTGGCACTGAATGAACTTCATGCATCAGGTTCCTTGTGTATGGGGATACCCACCATCTAGGATGAAATGAGATAATACATTCCAGGTAATTATCACAGAGCCAGCAGTAAGGGGATGTCTTAATATTGACATTAGCCTTCCATTTGGAAGCAGAAGGTAGACCCCTGAGGGGAGGGGAGGGGATGTGACCAGGGGTCGGCTAACTTTTGAGGCTGCAGAGTCAATCTTGTCCCTCACAATTTAAAAATTAGTCCAGAGCCACAACTATATGCTAACAAGCAAAGGAAATCGCCATGATCTGAATAATATCATTTAACACTTTTCCATCTTCCTTGAGAGTCACGTGTACATACTCAAAGAGCCGCATCTGGCTCGAGAGCCGTACTTGACTGACCCACGGACATGACGCCAAGATGTGTGCACAGGGCCTAGGTGTGCCACACAGATGGAGAGCGGGTTGCTGAAGAGCAACATGAGGCACTAGATACCATGCGGCAAACCAAGCCAGCCCCTCCTGCCCTCTGGCTCAGGGCTCATTCTGCAGGAGATGGCAGTCTGGCCTCCCAGCTTCTGAGTTGCCCACCAAGTAAGGCCTTTCTTGGTAGCTATTCCCTTCTCCCCTCCAACCCCTAAGCAAACCCCAGCTCTGCAGCTTACTCCTTGTGAAGTCACTTAACCTCTCTGGATGTGCCTCTCCTCATCTCTAAAATGAGGCTAACAGCAGGAGCTACCTCATAGGGTGGCTGTGAAGGTTAAATAGACATCAAGTGTTTAGAAGTGAACATATTATAGATACACAAAGGTCTGGCAAGGGCACCCAGAAGTCATCATTATTTTCCTAAAAGCTGCGAGAGGGAGTAGGAAGATCATCTCTGACATCCTCTGCTCCCAGGGATGCTTAGGAAGAGTGGACTGAAAGAGCTATGTCGGAGCCATGTTTCTATCCCAGTAACAATAATACAGTAAGGTCTTACTCCAGCTCGGTGGTGGTAACTCTCGAATTCCGCCTCTTTCCCTTGGCCTTGCTCCTTGCGACACACACAGCAATGGTGAGAATGGCAGCGCCCGCCAAGCTCCCCACCACGGCACCAACAATGATCCCCATTTCATGACCTGGGTGGAGGGCAAAAAGAACTGGTTAATAAAGTGGACCAGATTGTCTGCCTCCTAACTTGTGCCCCAGAACATGTGGGTCACTTATGTAGTAGGGGAAACCCTATTGAGGTGGCTGGGAATGTGGAAACTCCTAGAACGATGGCAGTTGAACTCCGAGTGGAAGAAAGATGGTCTGGCTTGACAGTATAAGTTAACCAACAGCATTTGCACAACTAAAGCAAAACATATCTTGACGAAAGGGAGGCTGGGTCACTTTGGGAAGGAGGTTTCTAGGAGTGAGTGTCCGGTATGCATTTGCTCGGTCAGTGTGAGATACTCCGTGGAATTGCAATTTGGTCACCAGAGATATGACCTCTGTGATTACAAGAAACCAAAGTGTTGCTGCTAGGTTGAGTCTGACTCATAATGGCCCTCTAGGACAAAGGAGAACTGCTCCATAGGGTTGCCAAGGCTATATATAGTTCTTGAAAATTCCACTACCCTTTCATTCCATTTTTGCTTAAACTTTTTTTATTAGTTGGGATTGAAGACATATAACATATCATTCCATATTTCAAGCATGTCGAGTAGAATAGCACAATGGCTACCACAACCCATTTCCAACCATGCTTTTCTACATGGCCAAGGCAATAGTTTTTACAGAAGGCAATAATCTTTTTTCCCCACAGAGCAGCTGCTGGATTCAAACCACTACCCTTTCAGTTCGCAGCTGAGCACTTAGCCACTGTGCCAGCAGCGTTCCTGGAGCACTGCTGTAGGCAGGGACATCTCCCCATGCTTCCTCGGAGCACAGGTGAAACAACTTCCTGAAAGCCTGCCCCCATAGACTGGTACATTCTGGCCACGGAAAAGGGATCTGCCCCTTTCCATCAGCTCACTTACTGCCATCAACAGGGTAGAAGTGTCCCTGTGGGTTTCTGAGACTGTGACTCTTTATGAGAGTAGAAAGCCTCCTCTTTCTCCCGAGGAAGGGCTGGTGGTTGCAAACTACTGACCTTGCAGTTAGCAGCTCAACACTTAAGTCACAGACCCACTAAGACTCCTATTTCAATAAGCAGCAGCAAGTAACTGCTTGCTGTTGGCACTGACAAAATTACCTGTGAGGCCTGAGGGGTTGACAAACATAGGAAGCGCATGCTATTGATATGAAAACATGATATGACATCTATCTATAGCAAAACATATTGAGAATATGATATTCCATCAGTCTAGGGGAAACCGTAGTGAGTACAAGATAATCCAGTGCTGCCCTCGTTAAGACAGACTATTGGCTGAGCTCGAAGGGGACCCATCTCCTTCTGCTTCTCTTCAAACTAGGGTGGACATCTTCTATATTCTTTGAAGTTTTTTTCACTAAAGGAACTCATGTGAATATATTTTTTTAAAAAACAATCAAATCATTTCACTAGGTTGATGATAATCAAAACCACACCCACTGCCATTGAGTTGATGCTGACTCAGTGACCCCCTGTGGGTTCCCAAGACAGTAACTCTTTACTAGAGTAGAAAGCCCAGTCTTTCTCCCACGGAGCTGCTGATGGTTTTGAACTGCCGACCACAGGGCTGACAATCCATTGTGAAACCACTACACCACCAGGGTTCCAAATAGGTTTATGATATCAAAAAACAAAAGCAAAAAAAATACAAAAATCCCAGTGATCCCCTTGCCCCAGTGTCTCAATCACGAGAGGCACCCAAGCCTTGTGGTATTTGCCTCTGGACATTGAAGACTCCGCTCCCTTACTCCACACCCCTCCAAGAAAGGAAGAACAATAGTCCGATGGGTCTGGCCCCTCTGGGATAGTAAAGGCACGGACTCCAAGGAAGTTAGTCAAAGGAGTCAATGGCAAGTTTCTAAGAACTGCATTCTCTCGGGTTCGCCAGGCTGTGACTTCTGGATGGGGCTTCCCAGGCGCTTCTTTCGAGACTTCTCTGAGCAGGTTCAAACGGCTGGGTACTTACCTCCTTGCCCTATCAGGGACTCCAGAGCGTACCTGGGCACCTTTCAACAGGAAGATGGAGGTTCAGAGACACCCAGGCTCTGTCAGTTTCTAACTGGATGAGCCTGCACAAGTCCCTTAACCTCCTGAGTTTCCATTTCCATTGCAGAGTCAGACAAGGTTAACAACATAATCTGCCATCTGGACAGCATGGTTGTGGGAACTGAGTGACAGAATGTCTGGTAGCCTAGCCGAGTGCCTGCCATATAGTTTGTGCTCCACAAATAACAGTCACTGTGCTTATGGAAAGGAGTCTTGGTGGTGCTGTCGGGTAAGCATTGAACTGCTAACCATAAGGTCAGCGATTCAAACTCAGCAGCTGCTACTGAGAAGAAAGATGAGGCTACCTGGCCCCATAAAGATTTATAGAAAACCTGCATCAGGTCACTGTGACTTGGCATCAACTGGATGGCAGTGGGGGTGGGTGCTTCTAAGTAAGGGTGCTACTGTTGCTATTCTTATTAGAGGCAGATCTTAACCACTTAGTTGGGGAAGTGAAAAAAATTGACCTAGATAGCTAGTTTCACCTGGATTTATCAATAGAGTCACAAAGGGAATTTCAGCCTGTCATTACCAGTGAGGCTTGTGTTTTATATATTGGATAATAATCACTATCTTCTCAAGATTGTGTGAAGCTTACATTTGTTATAAAGAATTTAGGGCAGTGCCTGGCCCATGTAATTACGTGAGCATTAGATATTATTAGGATGATCATTCATCTTGGCAACCTAGAAATCAAACCCAAAGATCACCAGCGAGGTAGGGAGTAGGAAGGACTTAGCAAGGGGTCCCAGGTGATAAGCCCAGGTGACTTGAATGACAGGGAAGAAACTGTAAAAAGCTGTGTAATCAACTCACGTGAAGATGTTAGGTCAATTTCGCAGGAACCATTACCCAGGCTGTTGAAGGCTGTGCATTGGTAATAGCCTTTTTCAAAATTGCTCAGATTTTGAATAACTAAAACCCCGGTGGCTGGGTCTGTCAAGACAGGAAAGAGGTTTCAGACTGTGCAAATGGAGCCCAACTCGACTGGGCATCAGAGGCTGTAGTGCAGTGCCCACCCACTTCCCAACCTCGGCCTCGCAAGTGTGGAGAAACCCTGGGTCCAAAGTGATTGCCCGCGATGAGTCTTAGGTCTTAATGTTATCCATTTGGGGCGACGCTCGGTTTTGTGATGTCCACACTACCACGGAAACCCAACCAACTACCTTCTACCTTCTAGCGCCCGTGATGGCAAGGCCCAACCCCTGTTGAGTGGGAGACAGACGCTGTCCACCATCCCAGGCAAAAGCATAGCTCGTGGCCTGAACCCTCATGCTGGCTGGGAGTGTTGCTGGACGGTGTACTCACTGAAGGCTTCCTTCACTGGAAAGATGTCTCTCCCCTCCACTTTATTCCAGCGGTACATTGGGCTGGGTGTTCCGATCGTGGAGTGGCAAGAAAGAGAAATCAGACTGCCGGTTTCTGGTGTGCCCTGAATGCTGCAAAAGGGCTTCGACGGTTTGACTGTAAGGCAATGGCAGAGAGTGAGAGATGAATGACAGTCGGTGACAACTGCAGCCACTCACCCATGTTCAGTTAGTGAAAACAGGGTGATTATTGTTTTATATATATTTCCAAAAAACCAGCTTGCGCAATGCTCCTTTGGACACTCTTCTGGGCACGCCACCAGGGGGGAGTAGAGTACTTCAAGAGCAGGAACTTTCTAGGCACAGGCCTTTAAGATTCACAGGGAACTGCTTTGGTCTGCCTCCTTGGCAGATTCCTAAACCTGCGTTTTCTCATTGAATATTAAAATCTGCCTTTAGTGGAGAAGATAATATACTACAAGAGGGAAATGAGGGGAATATAGGAGAGGGAGGCAGGGACAGAGGGAGCCCTTGGGAGCCGTGTAAAGTTGTTTAAAATGGTGACAGCAACAACTGCTGTTATGTAAACCCATACCGAATTCTCACACTTCACACACACACAGAGGACTTTATTAAAATGACTAACTTCTTTAAGAAAATACTAACGGTGAATACAGTTTACAATTTTGAAGCACCATTTTAAAGGAACCTAGAATCCTTAATACCTTGAGAGGAAAGATGATTTATTTTGGGGTAAAAAACATGTTCTCTTAGTGCTCAATTTTTTGGGGGGGTTTCCCTTGAATTTTTTTTCTTTTTAAACATTTGCTCATTGGTGGGTGACATAAACTGCTGAAGGGTTTGGATATGTTTATATCCCTTCTCCATCAGTCAAGCCCGGTTTTTTTTTTTGGCGGGGGTGGGTTTGCTAGACAGCACTGAACCCTTGATTCATTCTGTATTAATGAGCATTTGGTGAGTGCCTGGACCTGGATTAAACCAAAAATCCAATGGCTCATAGTGACTTAATAGGACAGAGAAGACCTGCCCACATAGGGTCTCAAAGACTGTAAATCTTCCTAGAAGCCAGCTACCACATCTCTCTCCGTTGGAGTGGCTGGGTTGGTGGCTTTGAACCTCTGACCTTTGCATTAGGAACCAAGCATTTCACCACTCCTCCAACAAGGATCCTGGGCACTGGATTAGGTCTCAGAAATCTAGAAGCAGGGTAAGAAAAGTGCTGAGATGAGGCTGAAGGGCAGCAGAGGCCGTATTTTGGAGGGCCTTTTAAGATGAAGGAGCCCTGGTGGCAACACATTGTGTGGCTAACCACAAGGTCAGCAGTTTGAAAATACTAGCCACTCCGCGGGAGAAAGATGAGACTTCCTACTCCCACGAAGACAGGGGCCGTTCAACCGTGCCTTAGAGGGTCGCTGTGAGTTGGAATCAATGTGATGACAGCGAGTTTGGGTTTTTGAGGATTAAAGGTGGGAATGCCAAAATGAAACTCACTGCCATCAAGCTGATGGGGCAGGGTAGAACTGCCCCAGTGAGTTTCCCAGACCTCATCTTTCTCCCAAAGGGAGACTAGATAGTGGGAAAGTAGATGCACAAGGAGATTGATTCCAAGTATTTCCTATGGAAAAGGCTGGCTTTGATACTGAGAGCAGCTGGCACCCGTGGCCGGATTTTCAGTAGGAGAGTGAGGACAGTCATCTAAAGGTTTTAGATGGGTTGCTCCAACTCTAAGGGTGCTTGAAGCAAGGGAGAGGAGGCCGATTCAAGAGGGATTGAGGAGGCAGGATCAATAAGCCTAGTGACCAACTGGCTATCTGTGAGCAGCGACTGCATGGGGTCAATCAACACTAGGTCGGTCATCACTAGGTGAAAGATGCATTGCGAAGATGAGGCATCTTTAAGTCCATGTCAATACCTTCCCACCACTGGCTTCCTTTACCGGCTCCCTTAAGCCCTAGACCCCACGAGAGCAAGCCACGTGAGCACTCAAGTGCAATGGGATTTGTGAGTTGCCAATTTTAAACCAAATCAACAGGCTCCAACTTGCCAGGAAAACCTACAGTTGTAGAATTTCTTTGTTCTCAGCGCCATTCATAGAGTTTGGGGGTGCTCCTAGAGGAAAAGAAATCCACAGACATTTTCTGCCTCTTACCTTGCCTGGCTCCTGGCTCCTCAAGGAAAAGCCAAGCTATAGTCACAGCAATGACAAAGAACAGCTAGAAGAGGAAATGACGCTCATCTTCTTCCGGAAGGTAGTTTGTGACGCTATGCATTTAAGGAACAGTAGCCTGCTTGTCTAAGATGGGTTGGAGGTGTAGTGGTTACACATCGGGCTGCTGACTGCAAGGTGACAGGTCGAAACCACCAGCCGCGCTCAGCAAGAGAATGGCCAGGCTTTCTACTCCTGTAAAGGCTGACAGTCTCAGAAACTCTCAGGGACAGTTCTACCTTATACTATAAGGTTGCTATGAAGCGGCATTGACCCCACAGTGCGTTTGAGCCTGCTTGTCTAACTATCTTAAGACAGTTTCTAAGTCCTGAGATAAAGATTTGGGGCCGTTTTAGTTAGTTCCTTGGTAGAAGAACATCCCAGAGCCAAAGAAAAACAGAAAAGCATCAGACCTCAATTTCTTTAAGTATTGCATTTGCTGCCCTTAATAAACCTGTAAGTAAGACAGCACAGGATTTACGACCCCATCGTACAATGGCCAGAGAAGGATGGCGGCAGCAGAAGTGTTTGCACTCCGATCTTCCTGCTCCCAGCTTACTGCATGACATCCGAGCACACCATTTCGTTCCCATGTGCATGACCTGTCTCCCCAACTGGAGCATAGACTCCCACAAGCAAGGGCTGGTGTGTGATTCTCTTGTCTTCCTGTGTGCTCACAATGCTTAGTACACAGGCACGAACTCACATAAAACTACCAAACAGAACCCACTGCCATCGAGTCAATTCCAATCATAGTGATCCCGTACAGGATCCTGTATAGGATTTCCCGTTCCCCCCATCCCCACAGCCCCGGGAGGAGATGCAGTGGTAAACTTTCTAGGAAATATCAGTGGGTTCATTTTTGGCCTCACTTGGTGGTAAGTCCAGACACTGGACAGCTCTCCTATGTATGTGTCTTGTTACCAATTGTTGCTTTCGCAAGCCACTCAATGGTTGTTTTCATCTAGTTCAGCGCTTCTCAACCGGTGGGCCGCAACCCCTTTGGGGGCTGAATGACCCTTTCACTGGGCTCACCCAATTCATAACAGTAGCAATATTCGTTTTGAAATAGCAACGAAAAAATTTTATGGTTGGGGGGTCACCACAACACGAGGAACTGTATTAAAGGGTCGCGGCATTTAGGAAGGTTGAGGACCACTGGTCTAGTTCCTCCTTTCCTGTGATGTGTACCCACTACTCAAGAGAAGCAGTGACTACATCAGTTCCCTATTGGTTTATTTCAAAGTGGGAATCTCTGGGCAGGAGTTCCTGAGTAGGTGCAAATGGTTTAGCACTCAACTGCTAATTGAATGGTGAGGGGGCAAATTCTTCTGAAGCAGACTGGAAGAAAGGCCTCCTGGGTATTGATTGCTTTCTGAACATTGTTTTCTCTTAAGAACTCTAGGGACTGCAGTTCTGCAACAAACACCACCTGGCGTTGCCCTGCGTCAGACAGGCAACCACATGGCAATGGGTTGGATTTAGAAGTGGAATAGCCCTCAGCTCAATTGACTGGTCACTGAGAGTTGGCAGTTCTTTCATGCAGCCTTTCAGTGCTTGTGGCCAGGTGCTAAGCAGCCAATGCTCTCTCACAGCAGAGATTGATCTAAAGGAGCCCTGAAAACTGCCGAAACTGGGAGCTCTCTGGGCAAGAAACCTCATAGCTCCTGGCATGAAGTAGGCATTCAACAAATATTAGCTGAATACGTGACCTCCTCCCAATTCATTTGAAGAGAAAGTAAAACCCAAACACATTGCCCTCAAGTCCATGCTGACTCATAGTGACCATAGAACTCGAAGCAGAATTACTCCTGTGAGTTTCCAAGTCTTTCTGGAAGTAAAAAGCCTCATTTTTCTCCACCTCAACATCCCATATTGAATGTTTTAATATAAACAAATGAGAGAGAAATGCTCAACACTGTCTTAAAGTGTAGTCAGTTTTTAAAAAAAAAACAACCATTAGCATTTTTTCCCAAAGGCACCTCTTCATGTTATTCAAAAGACTAATTGCAGGAGGGGGGGGGGGCTGATGGCAGGCTTGGGAGAGGAGTGGATTGGAGGATGGAGTGAAGTGAAAAGGACGCAGGCCCTTTTGTTATACCTTAAATGACACTACACTGATAGTTGTCTCCTAGGTCAGACCAGCTGCTCTAGAGAGAAGTTTCCTCCGAGTGGCCAGTAATCATTTCCATGAGACTGTGGGCTGTCCCAACTGCTCTCATCCTGCTCAAGGATAGTAATCTCTGCATCCTTGGTCATCTACTGCTGTCACGGTCAACAGCTTCCGCATGTTTTATGAGTGATTTCTCAGCATCTGGGTATGGGTCGAATGGGTATGTCGCTATTTCCCTGATGGGAGAGTGAGCTTTTACGTCAATTTTCTGTAAAGAGTTACAGTTCCAGAATCCCACTTAGGTAGCTGTACTGTTGCGTAAGGTCGCTATGACTTGGAATCGACTCAATGGCAGTAGGTTTGCTTACACATGTGGGAAGGTATGGGTGGCGACTTTGGGGATGTGGCCTATTTATGGGAGCCGCTGTGGAAACCTGGCTTCTCTTGCCCCACTTCTTGCTTATTTAGATCCATGTGACTCTACACCCACTGGCCTACTTCACCTTCCTGCTTCATCGGCACGCAGTTGCATGAGTCTGGAGGGGCCTCCAGCTAGCATGGGACCCCTGGACTTGAGTTGGCCTAGGCCGGGCTGTGGTCTTGATATAAAGTTCTTTCTTATACATATACGAATGTCACTGGTTTAGGTTCTCTAGAAAACCCAGCCAAACATACCTAGTCATCAAAGGAGTGGGGAGAATATGTACCCCAAGAAGGGAATTGGCACCTTAACTCCTTTCTGGGCACATTCAGTGTCCTCAGTTGCTCCAACCAAAGAAACAGAGACAAGGACAGATTCCGGTATCCATACCTAACACATGGACAGCGATGGTGCCTTGATTTTGGCCGATGACATCTGGAGGGTTGTTGACATCGCAGATGTAAGTCCCAGCATCAGCTGGCTGCATGTTAGAAATGGTGATAGATGCATTTCCTGGTTGGGAGGACCCAACAATTCGATTTTTAAATTGCTCAGCGACTGAAGCTTGTCCGCCTTCAGAGTAGTAAATCTAGGATAGATAAATGAATAAGCAAGGAAGTAAACAAACAAAATAAGTCATTGTTATATAAAGTGAAAATTCAAAAATGCCCACAGCTAGGGTAGAGCTAGCTGGAAACTCCCTCTACCCAACTCTTCCTTCTTTGATAGACAGAAGCCTCTCCTTTCACAGAAGCAGGTCCCTGTGGCCAATAGTGCTCCACTCAATGGGGCCCTTTCACTTTCTCATGGCTGCTCACTCACTGTCTTTACCTCATTTGTTCTCTAAGCAGCTCTGTGATATTATGCGACGGTGAGGGTTCTGGGCATCTTACAGATGAGCAGACAACTGCAACTGACTGGATTCAACTGCTAACCTTGGACTAGGAGATTAAGATGTTCACTGGCTAAATTTATCTGGTGGAAACTCATCATAGAAGAAACCAATGCTCACTGGGAAAACCAAAGTCCCCCACCTCTTCTAACTTTTCTAATCTTTTTAAAGCCACCTTATAAACTTTTCTTGACTGGAGATTGATCTTACCCAGTGGGGTGATCTATATTATCTGGTTTCCCTAAAAGTGAGAATGTTTGCTCTCCTTTCAGATACACATCGTTCTTTGGATAAGCAAACTTGGGTTCATGTTATTGGTTAGAGAAGAAATGCCCCTGAGTAATCATTGGAGCCCATTCACATGCTGTTGTAGTATGAGGATAAAATCAAATAATTAAGGGATAAGAGGAGAACAAAACCCAGTAGTTATCGAGTTGATTCTAACTCATGGTGGCCCCGTGTGGGTCTGAAGGGAGCTGTGCCCTTGGGTTTCTGCTGGCATATTTTTCAGAAATAGCTTGCCAGGCCTTTCTCCTAAGATGCCTCTGGGCAGACTCACACCTCCAGTCTTTTGATGGGCAGCCGTGTGTACCACCTAATCAATTATTTACTCAGTGATTTTTCTCTCCACCTGGCAAGAATCAGTACTGGAATTATGATATCATTTAGATAGAAGAAAACTGAGATTCACAGAGATTAAAGGACTTGCATTTAGATATAAGAAAACTTAGACCCCAGTGAGATTAAAGGACTTATTCAAAGATGTATTTTAATTCACTAGAATTAAGAAAGATCTAGTTTCCAGTTCCATCAACATTAAAGCACGTGGATGCTTAGTTTCTAATGATACTTGGGGAAGCAGCAGGGTGTGGTGGCAAGAGCCCTGGCCAAGCGATCAGGTGATCTGGGATTCAGTCAAAGCATTGCCTCTGACTAATTGTGAAATAATCAGAGGAGGTAACCTCTAGATATGTCTCCATAGCAACCTGTGTGGTGACATGAAATGTTTTAATTGACCTCTACAACCTTTTGTTTTCACATCTGAAACGGGGGAGCCAGCACCCATGTTTACTGCATATGAATATGCTTTTCCCAAGGAGGAGTATACACATTGATTTTAAGGCTCCTGTTGTCGCTATGAGTTGGCACCAGCTCGATGGCACCTAAAAGCAAATGACAAAATGCAAAACCTCATGTCTATCAGAAAGACCTCATCTAGCACATCAAATCTGTGCCTCCAGGATACTGTTGCTAAGGGTTAAACGAAGATTTAAATACCAGAAAGGGTCCTCTAGTAAAGTCTAGAGAATTTGTAGTTAGATCCCCGGACTAAAGGAAGTTGGAAACCACAAACTCTTCCCCACAAATAGGCCTTGCTTGACAAAACAACCAGAAAGCGTTCAATTTAAAGTATTCAATTTAGAGAACATTCAGTAATTCATAGAGGCCAAACCAAAGTGCTGCCAATGAGTCAATGCAGACTCAGAACAACCCCGTGGGTTTCCAAGACAGTAACTGTTTATGGGAGTAGAAAGCCCCATCTTTCTTTTGTGGAGCTGCTGGTGGTTTTGAACGACCAACCATGTAGATCACAGCCCAACATGTAACCACTGCACCATTGGGGCTCCTATAAATAGTGACAAGTGATTCACAGTGATGACCAAAAACCCATGCGGTTGATACAAGGATGGGTGAAGCTTGGAGATCACTGAGCTTGGTGATCCTAGAGGTCCTTGCATATTATCCACACTCGATGTACTCATTTTGCCAGTCTCATATATATATATATGTGAATTCCAGAACCATTGTTTATTATTCAATAAATTGCTATTGCCCTACCCTAGTCCAATGGGTCTATTTCATATTTTCATGAAGTCTAGGAGAGGGACCTTGGAAAAACCAAACCCACTGACACTGAGTCACTTCCAACTCAGAGTGACCTCAATGTAGGGTTTCCGAGACTAAATCCTTCAGGCTCATTTAATTCATTCCTCACACTTTACAGAAGAAACCGAGACCCAGAGAGGTAGAAAAATGTACAATTAACAGTTGGGACAATTCTAGAATCCAGTTCTCCTAATTCCTCCCAGTGTCCCTTCCCTTAATAGATCGATGGTAGAGGAATCGCAATCAGAAAACCTAAAGATAAAGTCTAGATGAAATTTAATGTGTTCTCCTTGAAGCAGAAAAGTCCATTTGTTTCTAGAAGAAGACAGAAAAGTAGATTTTTATGAGAAAGTCAACGGAAAGAATACATTTAAGGAGAAAACAACTAGTTTCATTCCCTGCCCCTTTCTAACATCAACTTGTTTGTTCCCCCTGCCCTCAGGCATCCATTCAGAATTCATCTCTTCACACCTATTGAAACCATAAACTAGGGATCTTGTGTAATTTAACTAACCTGAAGGCAAATTATTAACTCAAGGTCTATGAATGGGATAGAGGCACAAGTCGTTAAAGACCTATCACCTTCATTTGAACTGACATCCACAAAATCCAGCTTTCAATTTTACAACCCTCCCCTCTGGTACCAGTACTTCCGGAAGGAAAAAGTAAGGGCTATTGCCTCGTAACTAGAACATGACTGATGTCCATTTAAAAAAATCATTAAAACCTAAATATTTCGCTAATTTCGCAGCGCTCTATAAAACTGGTGTGAGAGAGCAGTTTAGGTTTTATTCACGAGACACAACACCCAGTCCTGCCAAAGCCCCACAGTAAGCCCCAGAGGGTGCAAAGGACCCTATTTTGGTAGGCCTAAAACATGAGGGCGCTGGAAAATCTTGGAGTCGGACGTGAATCAGGGTCAAATGAACAAATACGCAATGAGACTGCTCCTATAACTTACTTAAAAAGGAACCTTTAAAACTTTAGTTCACCACTCTATCCTCTAAATTCTACCTTCTCACCAAGAGCACCAGGAATAGGGATGCGAGCGAGGAAGGAGGCCATTGGAGACCTACAAGGGAAAAGCCTTGACCTTGGGGCTGGGCAGAGCTCACACATACAGAGGCAGGGCTTTCTGCATGAGGAAGCTCACACTGTGGCAGTGTCCTTCCAAAGGGGTGGGTGGGTACATTAAACCAAGATATTTCCCTGAAAGTGCTTATCTAATCACACAGGCAGGACGGCAATGTGGGTCCATTTTCCACAAAAGAAAGACTCCTTTAAAAATCAAAGCAGAACAATGACCAAGATGGGGGTGGCGTGGGGGTAGGTGAGTGGCTGGGGTACGATTCTTTTCAGTGAAAGAATATTGCCAATTTAATGATCAAAGCAACTGGGGGGGGGCAGTTCATAAATATTCAACATGCCACATCCTTTGGTGGTGGGTGTGTGTGTGTGTGTGGGGGGGATCCTGCTTTAAGGAAATCTATCCAAGTGTTCCCTTAATTGGTGCTTGTTAATTTTTTACCCACTTGCCCTTTGTGGCTGCGTTCATGGAAGACTGCCCTACTTCCCCCAGGGTCCTCTCCATCAGCCCCTTTGGTGACATTAGAGGCTAATGTGGGGAGTCATAATAGTTATGCATTCATTATTAGGCTTCCTTTAAAAACAGCTACAATAACTCACTGACATGGGGTCAATGCCAAATCCTAGTGACCCTATGGGACAGGGCAGAACTGCCCCTGAGAGTTTCCAAGACTGTTAACTCTTTAAAAAAATTTTTTTAGTTAAATAATTAATTATTTTTAACAATCATCAATGGCAAAAGGCAGCTGCAGCAAAGCAGCAGACTGTTAATTCTTTATGGGTGTAGAAAGCCCCATCTTTAGCCAGCGGAGACCCTGAGAGTTTTGAACTGCTGACCTTGCAGTTAGCAGCCGGCTCCTTAGACCTCCTTAAAGATCACGTAGTTCATGTTTTCTACGGTTTAAGAGTCTTTTTCTTTTTACATCATTTTATTGAGGGCTCTTACAGCTCTTATAACATTCCACACATTTATTGTATCAAGCATATTTGTACATATGTTGCTACCATCATTTGTAAAACATTTTCATTCTAATTGAGCCCTGGGGGTCAGCTCCTCTCTTTCCCCCCTCCCTCCCATCCTCGTGACCCTTTGATAATTATATATTGTTATTATTATTTTGAGGTTAAATTGTCTTCAGGAGCCAAGTAGATATTGGACATAGGGGAGATGGCTGTGAGGGGCTGGCAAATAGCAGCATCACAGAGAGGAGTGAGGACTGTGGTGAACTGGAAAGCCAATGAAAATCAGACATTCGCAGTGTTCAAACAAACCAGCAAACGACGACGAGGTTGAACACCCCCACAATTGAACTGGCCCAATCTGACCCAGAGGCTTCCCGTTTGCAACCTCGCATTCCTTCTCTTCCAGGAACAGAGGACACAGGCTCCAAGAAAGGAAGTGATTTTCCCAAGTCTGTATAAGAAATTCCCATCCCAGCTAGAATCCAGACCTGATTCCCGAGGAAGACATTAAGATTCCATTTCCATTCTTGCCTGAGGTGAGGAGTATGATCCCCAAAGAAACCTTCCCCTTTGGGGGGCCATGCCATCCCCTCCTACAGCATGGTCCATCTGGCAATTGGCAGGAGGATTCTCCTGTTGAATAAACTCGCCCCTTGAGGCCTTCAGCGTTTGCCAGCTGGAGTTGTAGGTCACGTGGGTCTTTGCTTATACCCAGCCCTGTGACAAGCTCCTGTCCACATGAAGCCATGCCTGGGAGCCGA